AAGAGAAAAAAATAAATCAACTGATTTCAAGTATACGTAGAGAATTTCAATAAAACAAACCGGCCATAGAATTCGTGAGACGGTAATTTTGGCAGAATGGCTTGTCGTTCCCATTTCCACATAAAAATATTCGCCAATGTCAATGTAAATGCCGATCCCATTGCACCACCAATAATTTGTCGATATAATTTTTTACCATAAACAAAAGTATTTGTTTGAAGTACAAGACGAGCTAATTTGATAATTGTTTCAATAGACATACCATTGATTCTTTCACAATGATGTATCTGTAGAAACTCAGCAAGAATAGCCAGTGATTCTTCTTGTGGTAACATGGTATAAAGATTCGAAATATCGAAGGTAATAAAGAGAGTCGATGAATTAAAATAACCATCCGCTATATACTTCTGAATTTGAAGAAGAAGATCAACACCGTCCACAATAGTTGTTGAACGAGCAAATCGATCGAATAAGGGTCGAATCGATTGATCCAAATATTTCGATATGGCTGTTGTTGCTGCATGTATCGTATTAATAATCGGTCGAAGTGGTGTTCCTTTCTATAATAGAGAAGATTTATATATTTATATAGAACTAATAGAACCACAGAGAAAAGAATGAATGAATATTGATGATTACTTTATGTGCTTTAGGAAGAAAATACATATAAGCTAATTCTGTCTTTTTCCGATCAGGCATCATTTTTAATCTTTGCCATTCACTTATTCGTTTTATTGATTTTAATTGATTAAGTAATTGAGTTGCAGCACCGATGATATCATTGAATGGATTAGACGTTATTTCTTCGTAAGCACCTGTTTTTTCTCGATATTCAATTGCTTTTCGTTCATAATCACTAGCACGACCAATATGAAATACACCACTTTTATCTGTTTCCCGTAGGATAAGTTTATATCTGTTTAATTTTCGTCGTATAGATTTGACTAATTTTAATTCACGTCGTGCCCGCATATGATCTATTAATGGTAATGGAGTCATATAAAGACCGAGTAGATATGTTCGAAGACGTTCCGAATAGAATTTATACAAGGATGATGATTTGGGTATGCTTGGTCGTCCATCACGAATATCACCCAAAAAATTCTTTAGTTTCCCTAAAATATCATTAATTTCTTTATCAATCTGCTTTTCTCGTTGATCAGATCGCCGTAATGCACTTTGATTGGATCGTATATAAGATGGCCCTATTGAAAAAAATGAAGACACATAATCAAAATAGACATGACAAAAAAAGACAGGTATAAATCTAAATAACCTCTGGAAAGGTAAGCTAGTTCCGCTGTACTAAAAGGATGACGAATAAGATCAATAATAATTCTTGGAGAAATTGACACCAATTTGATCTTCTTCGATCGCCACTCTCGACGTAGACGTATAAGTTTTCTTCGATAAATGGGTAGTTTTTGATAATAAATCTCTTGTTTCAGTTGATGTATCCGATGGTTAGTATAAAGAACAAAAGACTGGAACAGAGATCTTTCATTATTTTGACTAGGATGTTTTGAACAATTTAATTCAAATGATTTCAACGTGTGTTGATATTGATTTTTATATTCTTGATACTTTATCTCATATGCATTAATATAAATATTTAACCATGTCCGTTTTGCTTCTTGGATAATTTTATATTTTTGTTCTATCAATTCTAGAGCTGCAGAATCTTGAATGATAGGTGAGTACAGATTGGGTGCAATAAAATATTCTAAATTTTCAAAATTCTTAGGTAAAACTTGAAGTGAAACTCTTGTTTCTAATTTGAGAAAATTTTCAAAGACTTGTATTTGTCTTTGTTGTAGTTCTACCAAATGAGCCATGGTATTTTGCTAGGGAAAAACAAAAAACAAATATTGAAGCGTTCATAGAAAAATTTTGAAAAATACTCTTACTTGATCCACAGTAATAGGAGAATTGTATAAGGTGTACGATAGTTCATTTGCACGAATTATATCTTTATATCTTGTTAATCGTGAATTAATCTTCGTTTTGAAATATTTTTGTTCTAGTTGAACAAATTCTTTGAGATTCTCATCCATTTTCTCCAATGGTAAGAATTTTGCTGGACATGAGTGAGATAGTGCTATTAATTCGGTAGTACAGTGATCATATTGTCGATGCAGTTCTGCCAAACGATTTTCGACAAATTGTTGGCAGAGTTGAGATTGATTCGATTTCGTCCTCTTATATATTTCAGTCTAAAGAATAAAGAATAAGAAAAAGAGTGATCAGATCCATTGTCTTCTATCTATTCATGTGTGTATAGAAAATCATATCACAGACAACTTACTGGCCATAACTGAGATTGACATCCTAGTGTTAAATACGATTGCCATAAATTTCGATGAGCATCGAGTCGACACTGTTGATCGAACAAGAGAAGTCGCTGATGAATATATCGTTGTTGTCTGGTTGTATTTAATTTTTGTTTCAATTTGAGGCGTAGATTTCGAAAAAGAAGTTTTGATGATTTTGTTAAATATTTTGGTAAGTGATAGTTTGATTGCATTTTAGTTACGTCGATTTTAATAGTTTTCCTTTTTATCTTCTTGGATAAACGATCTGAAATGGATCGTGAACTCATGGAAGTAACCATTCTTTTGCGTTTATTTGATTTCTTTACTTTTGTATTTTTGTTTTCTTGGACAGTGGTTATCGTAGTGGCATGAAGTTGATTGGTAGTTGGCACCAAATTTGGAATTCCATTTTTGCGTTGTTTATATTGATCAATTAATTTCTGTATTTCTTCTGCACACAATCCTCGTCGAAGGCATTTCTTTTTAAAACGTCGTAATTTACGGTTACCATGACATCGTTTTATTCGTTTTTTCTTCTTCATTGATCTATGTTGCTGTACTGATACATCCGTCGTAGTGCTGATCGATGTCAATGGTCGTGATTCCCTTAATGGTGGCGGAACATTGATATGTGATGGAGCTGGTTGATTCTTGTTCGATTGGCTATTCATTGTATAGCACTTGATTCAATCTAAAAATCGATAAAGGAAGTCATGAAATTCATCAGAATTTGAAATGAAATGAATGGAAAGACAGAGAAGAATATGATCATACGTGTCGATCCAAATAGAATACGTTTTCTTTGTTTGATTAGTGTAGGTACTTCGTACAATACATAGAGATGAACAGAAAAGAAAAAAAAATAAGATAGTTTATTGAACATGAGCTTCCAAATGAATGAGTTTCCTTTTTAAATTGTATGTATGTTCGATATGGGTATTGATATGGACGAAACGTTCATATATTAGATTCCACATTGCTTCCGTTAGTTGCGTATTCGAAGGAAGCATTCGTTGACTATCTTGTATCTCTTTCAATGCCGTATTGTAGGCTTCTTGACATTTTTGTTTTTGCCCATCCGCACATTCCATATACATC